TTTTTCTTTGTCTACGAAATAAGGCCAAATTAATTATTGGAGGCGAAATAAAAAAAAAAAAATGAAAATGGATAACAAATTGTGCAATGAGACGAACTCAATTAAATAGTCCGCAGGAGAAGTGTGTGTGAAACTTCATTATCCAGCACATTTGGTACTTGTTAAGTCAGCCCATTAAAAACTTAAAAGGCAAAAGTGTGTGGGCTACATTATAAACTCAAATGATAAAAATTTGGTAAGGTAAGGACAATAAAAGATTATCTTTTTTTCTCTCACTACGATAATTATTTTTCCACCATTATTGTCAGATAAAAAACTCCAACCTGAATATTGATGCATCTAACCCAAAAATTAAATGGGTCTATATAAAAAATTAAATGGGGCTATGTATAAAATTTTATAAAAAAATAAGGTTAGAAAAAAAAAATTAGGACATGAAGCTGGAGCACACCCTAGCCCAAGGGTGGCTCCACCCCTGGTCATTGATGTGCAAATTGTCGGTCATTAATGTACATTTTTTCGTACACAAATGTGTATATATATCTAATGTGAACATAAACATTACATTGTAAATTTATTTAGCATTAACATAATTTATTAAATGTTCTATAAAGCATATATTTAGCACATATACCATATTTAAATATATTCAAATTTTATCAAATCGCATTCAATCCCCTTAAAATTATCTAATTTCCCAAAACTGCCCTAATCTCCAAATGGCCAACTCCGTCTTCATCTCCCCAGCACTCCACCGGCGCCGTTGAACCATCTCCAGCCGAGACATCTGACGTCGACTTGATCAACGGCCTCAGTAGATCCTCCCGGAGCTTCTCCCGCCCAGACCTGATCTCCGGCGCCTACTTCCAGCGGGGAGGGTGAAATCGACCGTCGATATAGACTGACGGAAAATGAAGGCGATGGAGCTCCGGACGATGGAATAGCGACAGCTACATGTATGCGTGACTGAGAGCTCTGAGAGGGCTGATGCAAAAATCCCGACGGCGACCGGTTGCCGTATTTTGTCTGAGATTTGTGGTTGAGGTGGATGGCGGCAGCGAAAGGGAACTCCGGCACGTACGTCGGCCCGGCGGACTAGCGGAGGTACGGCGACGCCTAAGCGTCGGTCAGGCGTGAAGCCGCCGGGAATTGGGCCGCCGGTGATGGGGCTTTTCTTCTTCTGCGTGTGTGTATATTTGTGTGTGTATATGTGTTGACCGATTTGTTTATGTGTGTGTGACAGTACGTGTGAAAGAGTTGAGTGTGTAAGTTGTGATGTGTTTTAGCCACGTGGCATGAAATAATTGGAACTGGATAATTTTTTAGTTAGCACAAATTAATTAATAATATGATAAAATGTTAAAATACCCTTAATGAATAAATAAATTCTAAATTGTTTAGCCATAGATCATTCGATCTAATGACTATGATGCATTCTTATTTTTTTCCCTTGACATTATTCTCACTTGAACCCAATCTTATATATATATATATATATATATAGGGATTGGTTCCAATGCATTAACATTCTTAAAGTGAGAACGTGAGACTCATTTTTAACCACGAGATTTGGTACATCATATAAGGCTAAGATTTACTTTTTTTTTTAAATATTTTAATTATTTAAATATTATTTTGACCCGTTGACTCCGGCATTGACCGTTGACTTCTGATGTTGACTTCCGGCGAAATCCGTTGACTTCCAGCGTTGACTCCGGCGTTTACCGTTGACAACTAACCTTCTATTTAGTTCTCTATAGTTGCTAGGTTAGTTCTATGTAGTTGCAAGGTAATTATTCTCTAGTTGCTAGGTTAGTTTTATGTAGTTGCTATGTTAGTTTTATGTAGTTGCTAGGTTAATAGTTGTTAGTATTTTTTTTTTTTTTAACCAAACAACGCGCCGGAAGGGCGGGAGATTGGGTTGGACCCCAACCTGTACATAGATCAAGACCCCAAAACGGGGGCCCAAAAAACAGCAGTCTACAGTCTACATAGTCTCACAAGCAAAGCAAAGAAAAAAAGAAGAGAAATAACAATACAAAGTCTGTCTTCGGGCAAACAGGTGCCCGACAATAAAGGTCTAATCGAATAAAAACACTAAACCTAATCTACTGAAAGCGAAACAATGGGTATCCAAGCTGGTTCATCCGTACAAGCGTGCGAAGGCGGAGTGGAGAAGTGTTGGTCTGAAACGTATGTGGGTCTGGTATGGTAGCGCCAAGGCTGGCAAGGTAGTCAGCAGGACTGTTCCCCTCACGGAAGATGTGCGTAATCCTGTAATGGACAGACCAAAGTAGAGTTCTGATGCGCATAAGCGGGTGCTGAATCTGCCACGAGCCCTAGTGACCTGAAGTCAGGAGAGTGGCAACAGTCGCAGCGTCCAGCTCGATCCAAATATGACTAGAAGAGTGGGCAGCAATCTGAAGGCCAATCTGTAATGCCTGAATCTCTGCGTCGTAGCTCGAGAAAGCCTGAAGGGGCGCGTGGAAGGCGGTGATGAGGGCACCGCTGTGGTCCCGGATCAAGCCTCCTCCTCCAGCAGCTCCAGTATGGCGATCAAAAGAGCCATCGGTGTTTAGCTTGACCCAAAGAGAGTCGGGTCGAAGCCAAACAACAGCTCTGGGCCGAGGGGGCCGAACAGGCGGTGAGGAAGCCACCATGTAGCGGTGTGGCGGCATGCAGCATGTCCAGTGTCGGGCCGTGAGCCTGCCCAATGCTGTGAGGAGTGAAAGATGTCTCTCTACCTGCAAAACAATGTGAGAAAACAAAAAAGTAATATCTCTATGCTTCGCAATATTCCTTTCCATCCAGATGAACCAAAAGATCAGACAATGAATGAGTAAGCCCACGTCTCTAAAGTGTGTGCTCTGTGAGAAAAAACTCAGGAGCTCAAAGAAAATGTCTGTGGTGGGTATGGATATATGGGTCAAAGTGGCAAAGTGATCCCACACTTTACTCACAATCTCACTTTCTAGAAAAAAGTGGGTAAAGGTCTCGGTCTCATGACGACCAGTCTCAGAACAACACACACACCGAGAGGGAAAGGAGATCCCCCTCGCGTGTAACACAGTATCCACGGGTATCCGGCGCAAGAGAAGGCGCCAAAGGAACACCGAAATGGTAGGGGTGAAAAGGTCGCTCCAGATGGCCCCGAAGAGAAGATTGGGCCGATCTCTCAGCCTGATCTGCTCCCAAGCCGAGGTAGTAGAAAACACACCCGATGATGTAAGTCTCCACCTCATGCCATCCGAACCGTCCCCCGAGATGGGGATCTGCTGGATCTGATCTAATAAATGCTAGCTAAAACCCGCACCAGAGCCCAACTCCCTATCAAGCTTCCCCCTATCCCATGACCCGTCCATCCAAAGGTCACTCACAAGTAGGTAGGGGAAATGTGTCACCTGCCTATCCCTAGACAACCGCCTATCACCTAACCACCACTCATCCCAGAAACTAACCTCGCCCTCGCCTAAAACCCAGAAGATGTGATCCTGGGCACGCCTACCGACCTTAGTGAGGCGTCGCCACTGTCTACTATCATGATCAACCGCCATCACCGAACAAGTGGTTGGAACTTCTAGGGCAGTACTTGCCGCGAAGGTACTGAGCCCAAAACGACTTTACCTCCCTGAAGTGCCACCACAGCTTGTAGGAGAAAGTTGTAACAATATTCCTGAGGCGGCGGATGCCGAGGCCACCACAGCTTGTTAGGTTAGTTCTATGTAGTTGATAGGTTAGTTCTCTATAGTTGCTAGGTTAGTTCTATGTAGTTACTATGTTACTTCTCTGTAGTTGCTAGATTAGTTGTCTGTAGTTATTAGGTTAGTTCTATGTAGTTTATGTCCTTGTTATAGCCCTTTTATGTTTTTTCTTTTCTTTTTTTTTTTCCTACTTTTCCCTTTCGTTCGATTGCAATATAGTCTGCAATCTAATTAAGCTAGGGTTTTCGATTTTTTATTTTATTTTTTTTTTCTAGATTTGTCGACTACTACAACAAATCAATGGGTGCGGAGGCGGAGTCCAGCAGCTTAGGCGTTGCGGGGGATGATGAAGTGAATGTAAACATTCGATGCTCCAAGTTGTCGGTGAAAACGAGCCTCGAATCGACGGTAGCTGAATTTAAAGGCGTATCGGCGCAAAGTTGCGACGACGTGCCCGCTCAACAAAAAAATGGTATGCATTCCAGTTGGTAGTGTATACATTCCAGTTTTTACGGTTGCTGGCGTCAGCATTCTATCATTTCATGATACATGCCTACTGTAAACCTCAGTGTCTATTTCAGTTGATGGCTGCAATTTTACGTGGCATCTGATTTTCTGTAATATTTGAAAAGGATACGAATGGAGAATGATGTGTCTCGTGTTCTTTATCGTGTTACAACTTGTAAAAAAAATGCATTGGCTAGGAGGATTCTTCATGGGTGTGCGGTTGGGTGGGTTTTATACTATGTTTGCTCAAATGTAATCTCTATACCTCAAATACAGGCGGTGATGATTTGTCAAAAGTCGGTTGCCCGTTTTTAGATTTTTTATTAAATTGTTCTTATACTGCAGAATCTGAACATGAAGATCTTATTGCAAACACTGAAGTAGCAAAGAATGCTGATACAACTTCCAAAACTGGTAATATCTGATTGGAGATTGAATGTGCTTTATTTTTCGACTTATTTTTCAACACCTGTACTGGAGAAACTAAAATCTGGACGACTTGTTTATAGGTGAGTCAAAAAAGCCTCGAAAAACAAAAAAGAAGAATCGGAGAGTGAGAGACGAGTTAGCCTCGGATAATTGGTTGGAAAGTAAAGGACAAGATGATCATGATGAAGTTTATCTTGACGAAGATTGCTCAAAAGGAATGAAAAGTTCACCCTGCTTTTACAGGAATACCTTTCTTGTTTTTCTGCAATTCTTTTATTAGTGCTTGCAACCTGGTCATACTCTTCATGTTAGGTGAAATGTTGTGATGGTCTTTCTATGTCTGTTTTGTGTGTTCTCGGCTTATGGTAGTATGCTGGTCTATTTAGAATTTTAAATATACATATTGGTTTCATCTTCATTCTACGCGTGAAGTGGAAATTGTCAAACTTTTCCAAAGTAGGTTATTCTCCATCTTGGTTTTTTCTTATAGCATCATTTGGTTCTGTATAAATATTGTTATGCACTGAGGTTGGCCAATTTTTAAATACAAGACGTTGGACTTTGTAAATCATCACGTAGCCTGTAAAATAAATAATCTTGAATGTAGGGATTACATATTGAAAGTTTAGTACGTCTAATGAAGGCGATCTAGTCGTTAGCTTAAGTGAGAGAAACAATGGAATATTAGGTTGAATTATCCTCTTGGTATGGTTATTTAAAAAATTCGGGTGCTAAGTTCTAAAAGCTAATTTCGGGAGAGTAGACAATACTATCTTTAAAAGCGTTGGAACTTCATGTGTTCAGAATGGATCACTCAATACCATCAGAGTAGACCTGGGATCGAGATGCTGCAGGAAAGGATTGATAACTTCATAATGGCCCATGAAGCTGAGGAGGAAAAGGTAATATATTTGGTTTTGAAATATGCCACAGCTCATTAAACCCTTGATCAATTAGAAAAAACCTGTGATGATGGTAAACTTGTAATCTGTAGCTGAAGATTTTCATATAAATTGGTCGTGTGTGAGTTCTATTATTTGGAATTTGGGAAAAACTTATTAATTTTAGGTCCTTGGAGCTAAAGGAAAGCCATATTATGTCATTCCATGCCTACATAAGAAAATTGTTCTTTCTAGTTTGTCAATTTTCATATTTTCCAATTTTATCTCATTGCAGGCAAGAGTGGAGAGAGAAGCTCAGGCAGCAGAAGGTGGCTGGACGGTTGTTGTGCATCACAAAGGCCGGAAAAAGACGACCGATGCTGAAAGTGGAGTTGCTGTGGGTTCTGTTGCCCAAGCTGCCGTTGTGGAAAAGGTGGCGAAGAAGAAAACCAAAGAAGTTGGTGTAGGTTTCTATCGGTTTCAGAAAAGGGAAGCTCACAGAAATGGTACTTGCCTAGTTGCAAAGTTTTTCTGGTCTTTTGTTGGTCTTTTCTGCCCTCGCGAGTTTGGTTTATTTCGTACTAAGATATGATTGAATTTGGTGTATGCAGAGGTCATGATGCTGCAAAGCAAATTCGAACAGGATAAAAAACGGATACAACAAATGAGAGCTGCTAGGAAATTTCGTCCCTATTAAGTGGAGTTCTAGATGTTATCGGTATACAATTTTTATCTGTTCATTCAAGTTGAACTTGGATCTTATTTTGCTTTTTTTTTTTCTTTCCGTGTGAGCACCATAACAAACTCCCCATTCGAATGGCAGCTCGTCAAGTTCAATTCCAGTATGTCTCTTTACATCGTAATATTTTGCTCAAAGTTCGTTTATCATACACATGAGAAACCCAAGATCAGACGTAGATGTAAAACTTTGTACTTCCACAAGTGTGGGGCAATTACATTTCCTGTTGGCCAATTCTGCGTCTCGTTTCGGGGACCAAATTAACTCCTGTAAATTACATGTGTCTGAAATTTCAGCAGACGAATAGAACTTGTGATTATGGATTAATGTCATTGGTTTCGTATCAACTGTTCCATTTTTTATGTGAAGAAACAATTGTTGAATTAAAATTAAATGAATGTTGCTTGGTTGATTGTATTGTACTGCCTTTAGGAGATGGGAATCATCTAACAATAGAAGAAAAGTGGTCATATTTTTCATTTAAAATTGCCAACTCGTTTGAAGAAGCAAACACTACTGCAGCTATTCATAACTATTCATAACTTACGGGTTAATATTAATTTGGACGTAATGGAGTAGTCAATTATTTTTAATAAATTACTCAACTATTTCAATTTTTTGATTTGGATAGTTTATACAAAAATAAATTCATTTTAATTAATGAAACAATATAGATTTTAAAATTATACATAACATTCACATAGATTCTTAAATATATTCTTAAATATATGATAATTTTTTACCAAAACATTTTTTTTATGTAATCACATTGTAGTCAAATCGATTTTTTGAATAAAAATTTTAAAATGACACTTATTTTGAAATGAATATAATGTAATTTATTATCAGTCACGTGCACCTTACAATTGTGTACTAATTTATTGTCAGTTACATGCCTTTTTATGGGACAACATTTGAATACATTTCGAGCGTTTTGTGGTGATAGACATTGATGGATACTTTGTTTGAGTTAGTAAGGAAACCATACTGCGGGGCTAAAATGAGACTTGTCTTGCATAAATTTTACAAATTGTGGTCATATTTTCTCAAATAATTGATGCTAACTTTGACTGTTTTAATCTTTTGAAACACTAAAATATTCCTTCAAAAGTGTTTGCGCCAGATATTTCGCAATTGTTGTTTGGTTTAATGGTTTAATTTCAATGATATCAATGATATCCTGTTTATTCGACAAACAAATATATAATAATAATAAAAAAAATTGGGATTTGTTGAAATTAATAACCCATTCTTGGATTGCATTTTGTTTTTGAAGAATTTGGAGCCTGGGATCGCATACAATTTACATGTTACACAACCTGTATTATCTTGATATGTTTTTTTTTTTCCCGAAACTATAGATATTATATCCCTGGAAAAAAGTCTGTGCAAGCAAGATTTGAGCTGCTATACAACATAATGGGAGGCACACTAACAATAGTGACCTAAGAAAATAGAAACCCCAAACTACACAAGGTTTAGGAAACCGGCAAAGACTGAGGCTTAAGGACCCCGCTCTATCCCTTGTGTAGTTGTACTACTAAGGGTTTGTTTGGCAAACCAAATAAGCTAGCTTATAGCTTATTTGGTTAGCTTATAAGCTTCCTGTATAAAATAAGTCCCGTTTGATAGGACGAGCTTATTTAAAAAGCTCGAGCTTATTTGATAAGCTTGTTTAGGTAGCGTTTCAAAATAAGCTAGTTGAATTTTTTATTTCAGCTAGCTTATAAGCTAATTTTACCAAACACTATTATCATATAAGCTAGCTTTTCAGCTATAAGTCATAAGCTATAAGCTATAAGCTCAAAAATTACATATAAGCTATAAGCTAGCTTATCAGCTATCAGCTAGCTTATCAGCTAGTTTTGCCAAACACACCCTAAGGATGATGGCAAGCAAAAGACAGAGCAGCCACTGAACAGATGGACCTAGCCACTCTATCACTACTAAGAAAACCACCCAAAACAAAGAGAAACAGCAATGCAGCAAGATAAAACATACTTAACAGACCAAACAAACTAAGAGAACTATTAACAAGAAAAGAACTCTATCCTCGAGGAGGTAGCAGACTGGACAATAGAATATTCCGAAAGCCAGAAGTTTTGAAAAAACCATTAATTCTTGGCTTTCCAGAGCCACCAAAGGACATACACTGTGAGATTGAGTCTCTGTTTGAAGCATGGTGTATGTCTGTTGCTACAATCCCAGTCCACTAGTGCTTGAAGTTGAAAGAGATCCATCCCATGAAACTGCAAGCAACTTCCGTACCATTCTAGCCTTGCAACAAAGGAAGAGAGAGTGTTCAAGAGTCTCCAATTCAACTCCACATGATTTGCAGATTGGATCAATGTGTTTAAGTCTAAGGAGCAGTTGGTGGTTGACTGGTAGGGTATTGGTGAAACACTTGCAGATAAAATGCTTTAGCTTGTTTGCTGTGTCGAGAGTCCATATTTTCTTCCCAGCTACTTTGACATAAAAGAGGAGCTGTTGTTCTCAGGGATATCTAACTTTTTCCATTTTTCCTCTATCGAGCTAACATAAGCAGAGGCCACTGTGAAGTTTCTTGTTTTTTTAAAGCACCATTTCAGATTATCCGTGCCATATGGATCCAGGTCTTTAAGGCAAAGGATGGTTTGCTTTTCAGAAGCTGGAAAGATTCTGAACCAGTTCAACATTCCAACTTTTGCCCGTATTATCCAGAAGTTCATGGACATGAGTGATCAAATGCTTCCATGGGCTTTGAGGATTTGGCTTGTGCGTTTTCATCTCAAGTAGCCATGGGCGCTCCCAAATGTTTGCACCAGTGCCATTTTGAGAGAAGAAGGGCAGCACTTTCCCCATAACCATGATCCACTACTGGGTATATTTGCAGAGAGAAGGTGTGGGTGGGGGAAATATTTGGCCTTCAAAACTTTGTTGGCCAATATTAAGCTACTTTTTTTTTTTGGTACAGGGACCTTCCGGTTTTCGGATCTATAGGAAAACCGACTAATCCGGAATCGGGCCAGGTAGGACCACAAGGGCGGCAAAGCTCTCCCTCAAGAGTTTTAACACTGCTGCATTCTCAGGGCTCGAACACGAGACCACTGGTTAAGCTGGAAGAGACCCAAACCATCTCATCCAAGCGCTCTTGAGTCAAGCTACTTTTTTTGATATAATTTTTATATTAACTAGTGAAGAAGTCAACAGCCTATTTCTTTTCTTCACAGAAATTTCAATAGTCTATACATACCTTTAGAAAAACTTCATATCTTACCTTCAAAGAGAAGAGGAATCTTTTGCCCTCAACACCTAATCCATGTCATACCTTGAAAGATGAATTCTTTTGTCAACACCTAAAATAAATTCTTAGGGTGTGTTTGTATATCCATTATATCAATCATACTCAAAATCTAACTCAATTTTAACTCAATCACACTATCCCACTATCTATTTTCGATATTATCAATATAATTAAATAATATCAATCAATCATTCTTGCATATCATATCAACTTTAATTCGTTATTCATCCACTTACATAATTTTAACTAAGCATAACTTCACACAATCTCTCATACTTTTACATCAAATTAAATTATAATTATTTTATTTTAAATATAAATTCAAAATGAACCATATCAACTTTTTCAAAATTAATTATAGTTAACAAATAAAAAAACTCATGTTGAGCCGATAAATATATACAAACACGCCCGTGTTGCACGCGTGCACACACACACACAGATAGACTTCCCAACATGACTCGACCCCATAGGAAAATCCCATTGAATTGGGCCTGTCGAGACAAGTAAATAGAAATCTCCAAGGGCACCATAGTCTAGGGGAGAGGGAGAGGGAGAAAGAGAAGAGAGATAACAAAAAGAAGGTGGTTACGTTCAAACAATCATGGGCAAACAAAACAATCCTGGGAACACAAACACCACCACACAAGGACACAGAGAGGTCTAATTCAATTAGCCAACTCTACATACCATTAAAAATATGTTAAAATCAAACCTAAGAAAAAAAAAAA